GTTTCTTAAGAACTAATCTTTGTCAAAAATGTGTATGCTACCAGCATCCCGCAAAATGCCATACCCTACGACATATGATCAATTTGTTCAAACAATCCATGACACGACCGATCCGCTGAAGGGTAAAGATATGAAGCACACTTCAATCTTCAATCTGACTATATCAAGGAAGCTATTGTTCACATCATGTGACAACAAAGCACTCCAACAGTCATGAAATCCCATCAACAAGGAGAACATGGTCATCAAATATGCTTTGCATGACATGTTTTCAAGATTTCACTAGTCTCCCAACTCCTTATTAACATCCATTTATTGTTGTAATAAATACATTGTTGTCGTTGTCATTATATATTGTTCATCACAATATAATGTATCACCACTTTGATACAAATTCATTTGTATGTATTCTATATATCTAATAAAGATTTTCGTATTGAGAATCTTCAAAACTATATATAGATTTCTACGGGAGTCAATCTTATGAAAGAGTATAAGTGCCTTGTGGACATATACACCACGAACTATATACTTAGGGCAGTAAAAAAACATTTACACTCTTTCTAAGAGAGAAAGAGATATTTTAACAATCGCTAGACGCGGTGATGTAATTATTGGTTCCATTCGGATCATATTGTTGTCCCTGTGGATACTCAAGAACCATCAAGGGTTTCTTTATTGAGTCCAGGTTCAACTCGTATCGCACTAAATTATAGAGATATCTGTCAAAATAGTTTCTATATAAAAACTCATGATGACAACAAAGAGAAATATATTCTCTTTACCATATGCAACAAATATAAAAGCACATTCTTTGTGTATCATCGGAATTGCTCTATACATACTACAAAACCCGTAGCACATGTTGCATATAAGATAGTTTCCAGAATGTTATTTACATGATAAACTTAGCACACTCACCTTGGTCATTCTGGCATTGACTTGAAATGAAAACTATCAGCAATTCCATTAATCATGCCTAAAATGGTGCTAAGTTCTAGCAATATTTGGATTTTATGTGCACTACATGTGACAAGGAAAGCTAATTTTAAGGTCCTGGCACCTTAAAGTGTTTAATCACTCAGATTCCTTGAACGCATCAAGCCAAGGTAAGTGGTACTTCTCAATCATTGATTGGACTATTCAGCTTGTTCCATGGTTCTAAAGGGCACATCTACATGATGGTCTTCTGTGTGCATCTACCCACATGAACCATTGACTCATTATCCTAAAAGATCAATTTCAATGAAATTCGAATGGACAATGTTGCAGATCTCTTTGTGTGCCATGAACATGGCCCTGTGATGTAAATTAAGCACTTTGTCCCATATGTCCAGTTTTAAAATGGTTTGATAACATCCTATATCCAAATAATTAAGCTCATTGCATGATCTTTACTTCGGAATTGTAGCTTACCAACTTGACGTTGGAGTCATGCGGTTTTACACACCCCTGACTTAATTCAACTGTAACATACTACATATCGTAGTACACCCCCTCTAAAAATAGTACGTGCAAACCAAAAGTATTTCCCATCTGCGATAATTCGGTTCCATACCGATATCACCACCATAGCATACATCAATGGCCCTTCAAAAAAAATTGGGATGTATGTGAGGAATAATAGTATTTCCGTCAACTATAAATACCTTAAGCCCCTCTCAGGGGGAGTTATTCATGGCTAGTATGCTCAGTGAGGTACATTTCCAGGCATTAGGGGGAGATTTTAAGTATCAAAAAGAATGCCAGGAAATCACTTGGAATGTTCAACACATTTCTATCTCAAATCCACGTACTCAAAGATCTAAACCCAATGTTTAGAATATTTGGAACACATTGCAAATAACCTACCAATCCCATTTACCGACTATAATGGTGTCACACAATCCTATAATCCTATAAAAATATGCCCAAAAGAGTGGAGGTACCAACAAAAACCACTCAACTCCCATTCAAAACAAGAAGGGGAGAAGTACGACCACAATACATCAGGATTCAGCTTTCTGCAAGCAACAAAGGATATTGAGGCCTCTGACTTGGTAAATGCAAGTCAACTTCACGTTGATAGACACCTAATGGGTAGTATACAGCCAATGAGAGGGAAACCTCCATAACCCAGCTCAACAGTGCACACAATGACTGGGACATCGGAAACCTAGACTCAACCGTATTGGGAAACACGAAGAGTCATCAAGGGTAACAAGATTTCACCAAAATTTTATACATTCTGGAGAATCATATAAATGAAAGCCTACAATTGTCGACATAAATTTCTCATGATTGCAAACAACCTTTACAATGATCTGGATCCAAAGACCATGGCCATGGTAGAGTTTAAATAATACTCGCTCGGACTGGACTCAAACAAAGGATGTAATCCAAGAAGAAATAGCCTCGCTCAACAAAATGAAGGTATTCACAAAAGTAATACCTACACTAGTTTTCATCCTACAGTGGAATAAGAACAATGTGGTGAATAGCAAGGCTTGTAGCATAAGGGTTCACGCAGATACCCAAATCGATTCTCCATACACAAATGAAATCAATTTCCGATAACTTATCTCAATGGCGGTACAAATCATCTATTTATATAGTTGATAGATGTAGTGACCACATATATTAATGTGTCACTTGATTCAGACATATAAGTTCCTCATGGGAATCTCAATTTTGAATCCAAAATGAAAGTGCAACATGTTTTGTGTAAACTCAATAAGTCACTACATGACTTATAATAGTCGAAATAAATTTGGTACAATCGACTTAGTGATTTCCTTATGCAAAAGGATACTCCAATAATGATGATTTCCTATGCGTGTTCATCAACATATCCTCATTAGGATTCCACTATCAGTGCATGGTAATGATTATAACATCATTGACAACACACAAGATATTGATGAAGAACGTAATCATCCATAGACGGAATTTGAGATGAAGGATGTAAGTAAAAACAAACTTTGCTTCAGCTACAATTCGAGCCCCTTCACTCATATATCATGATACACCATGTTGTCTATATCCAGAATATATTGGACATGAACAAGTCTTATCCACCTATAACTTTCATGGTTGTTCAATCTCTAAACATAGAGAAAGATCCATTTTAAACCATGAGAAGATGGAAATAAGATATTGGGACCCAAGGTTCCATACTCTAGTGCCACTAGATCCACCAAACGCAATTGGTCTAGACTCGAGAATATCTTTCGATATCTCCAAGGCATGCATCAAACACCTTGTCCTAATTTTCCAGTTAAATATGGACACCAATATCATCGGATACATTGATCAGATTCCCACTATGTCAGATCGTAGACACACGTCGTGTACTCACTTGATGTGATGGCCATCCTATAGAAGTCTTTAAAATAGACCTTAGTGGCTAGATCTACCAATCATTCTGAAATACATGACCCCATATTAATATATGTTGCTTTACAGAAGGATAAACCACATACAACATTCATGTGGAATTGGTTCTATCGAATCACCAACTATTATCCACAACAATAATAATACTTGTGTTGCTTAGATGCAAACGGGTTATATAATAAGCAATATCACTAAGCGTATTGCACCAAATTGCATGGAACAGGGGGAGTCCCTTCCTAAAATATAACCTATCCAAACATTGTATTATACTCTTTTTTCCTTTATGAATTTACTCTCATGGTTCTCATCAAGGTTTTTAATGAGGTAATATCAACACAAGAATATATGTCATACCTCCTGTTTTTTCCCCACCAAGGTTTTTAACGGATGTATACAAGGCATATTAATTGTCCTTTAAACTTACTAATTGAGTTTTGTTCTTTCAAGGTTTTCTTATATAAGTTATCAAAGAGACAATTACCATCATATGTCATACCATTTCTCATTATATTTTTCCCATTGGGTTTTAAAGGAGTTTTCAATGACATATCAGATCACACTCTTTTTCCTTATGAGCTTTCTCTCGAAGTCTCTCATAAAAGGTTTTAATGAGGTGATATATGCAATACTTTCAACATTCCCCAATAGGGATTTTAAATTAAAGTATATCGAGCATATATATTGTTCTCCAAACTCATCAACGAGTTTTTCTCCTTCAAAGGTTTTTTTCATATGAGTTATCAAGGAGAAAATAATCATTATATATTGTATCATTTTCTCCTTATTTTTTCCATTAGGTTTAAAGGAGTTTTAGCAACATATCTGCACTATTCTCCTCATATTTTTTCCACAGGGTTTTTGGAGGAGTTATACAAGATATCAATTATAAACATTGGACTTTCCGAAGATTGATGATTACTAATACAAGACGGCATTGTACAAGAGGGAGTGTTAGAAATAGGTTATTTTGTCCAAAGCGTCGTACGGACGCCTGTGTCCGTAGGGTAGCATCCCTTCCCCTGTACGGACGCCTGTGTCCGGTATGGGTGCCTCTTCCTTCGTCGGTGCTCTCTTGAGGCACCCCTCTACTTGTATGTATACCCAATTGATCAATGGAAAGAACAGACTGATTCATTCAATCAATCACTTCTCGTTTTCACGCTAACAACAAACACATAACAAGTCTATTCTTATATATTTCAACATTCAAAAAGTTGTCTTGAGAATAACCTACTACTATCTTCCGTTATAATTTTTGCTTATTTTAAGAATTTTTTAAAAATTGTTCTAATGAATTTTATTCTTCTCCTGATTCAAAATAGGACAACGTATTTTTGGCACCTTCCTAAGCCAGCGACCAAGCTTTACAGTTTCATAGCGACGATCAGGTGTTACGCTACTCAAGTAAATTACCCCATCACGGAGAAACAAAAGCCACGTGCCCCGTTGCAACATAATATATCAACACAATATTCCAGGAAATAAATGATGTCTAAACAAAAAATCAAACAAATCTTTCTCCATATTTGTTGAGTGCTGATAAATATTCTACTGTAGTAGATAAGGAACATCAGAATGGACACTGATCACTTCATTTGAACCAAACTGGAAAATTCATCAATACTTTAATACATCCGCTCATGTGGCACACAAAACAGGCAAGGTATGCACACAACTTCAGAAATATAAAGCAAATTCGGCTGACAACTTATCAACTCAGGTTCAGATAACACGAGCTTTGTAAAGGCAGATATATGCCATGTGCCAATCGCCTGTTAAGAAATATTAGCCTGTTTAGAAACAATTAATGGTACATATTTAAGCCGACATTCTTTCAACTAAATAGCTGCTTACCTCCACCAGATAGTTTCAAAATCTCTTCCTCCTTCCGTATGCTTGGGTTGTCGTCATCAAACTCAATCCATTTTCCTGAATGGCAACAAGAAATTATCAATATATTTGCAAGGCCAGAGAGCATTTGATTATGTGTAGCACTAGCTGATCTGACCATCATCTTGCTTAACCCAGCCAACGTAGTGGCCAGAATCTGCACTTCTTCCCTTGTGTGTCAAGACAGCAATTAGATCATAGATGCCAGTTAATTGTTTCTTTGGCACAGAAGAATCAGCTGCATATAAACAAGAACACATCTCTTAGTTTTAGGCAACTTAGTCACCATTGGTAGTGAGTTTGATCTCACTGGTAGGGAGAGTATTCTGAGAAGTTGCTGTTTGTGAATGCACATATCAAAAATATGGACACTGGAAGCCTACTTAAGTTAGATAATTAGAGAACAAAGCACCACTATTGCTACATGTGAGCAACTTTGCTAAATAATATCGTGAACCAATCACTTGCCTTTGTCAATGTCCATGCTGGATGATTCCCCAGCACTAGTTGATGACCCCTGAAATGAAATGTACTAAACCATCAATAGTTATAGCAGGGACTGAAACTAAAAATAAAAATGCCTAACTAGCATTTGCCAGTTGCACAAAAGATTAATCGAATTATCATTTCTTAAGAGTTCTAAATGATAAACAGGCCATGTGGTCCAAATCCAATGATAGTCTGGTTAGCAGAAACATCGTTACCTCGATATTCTGTGTTCTGCTTGTTTTCACCTCTACTTTCAAACCAAACTTGGCACTTTCTGCATCTCTCAGCACCTTCACATGCAAATTGAATGTCCCAATCAAAACAATAGCAGAGCTCGCAAATTAAAATTTGAACAATGAACAGAGAGCTACCTGTCGAGGAGTTTGAAGTTTTAGTTTCAGCTCATCCGAACAGAAGTCATAGACATCAAGCTCCAGAGGGTAATCCACTTTCTGGCAAGAACAGAAACATGCATTAAAAGATATGTTGACCAAAAAGGTTGGGCTCAGGATCTCGCATTGCAGTATCAAAATGCACTCTTAATGTTCCACAAAGGCAAGTTTGTCAAGGAAAAGAGAACAAAAGACACAAACATACACGTAAAATCTTCGCCTTTTGGTTTGACTCCCTTTTCCAAAAGAAACGAACAAACTGCACAGTCAAGTACCTGAAGAGAGAATATACATACATGTTATCTCTGACTAAGGTGAGAAAAATGATGAATGGGAATTATGCTCTTGCCTAGGCAACTCATTTATTCTCGACTCTCTTGTGTAAATAGCAGTCCGGCCCAGTGATGGGGAAACCTTCTCAAGTTCTGTCTTCAAACCCTGTAGAAAGAATACATGGATAGTTAACAAAACACTAAAGGCATAGAAATATGAGATATGTAAAATGACAGAAAAAGAATTATCCTATCAGCACAACTAACAACTACCTGTGATAACAAAAAAAAAACACTTAACTAACAAGTGGGATGATACTTACATGCTTCAGTCCTTCATGAAGGTGGTTTACATCATGAGATATATGGCACTTCAGAGAATAAACTGACTCTGACTCTGAACTCTCCTCACCACTTTCTGCACAGTGTACCCTGCAAATAAAGGTCATCATACACAAATAGCAGTACATGAATACCTGCCTTTTATTTAGATGAGTAATCTAGCTGCCTTATTTGAAATAACACATGATCCTTCGTACATGAAGTACTGGAAATATCAAAATAAGCTACGTCTGCTTGTGAGATGTTGTGTCATCAATTTTTACAGGGGACTGACGCTCTAATGCTCTATATCCTTTGGTGTCCTAGAAATGCAGGAGAGATGTAGTTTTTTTTAATAGATGCATAAAACTAGTGTTATCAGCAATAGCCAACCGACTATCTCTATGCACTGTACAACGCAAGTGAAAATACAGCAGTGTCAGTATCAAGTTGATGACAAATCCCTACAAGAAAACGAACACATAGGTTCGAGAAAACAAAACGAACATATAGAGGCATAAAAACAGATATAAGAGGGAGGACAAGAGAACCTGCTCACAAGATCAATCCCGAAAAGTTCCTTCATCTGAGCAGCAGTAGGTTCACTGCCAAAGAAGCCAAAAAGTGTTATTAAATTGAATTGCCAGCCATGAACACCACAAGTAAATGCCAGTAAAGCTAAGGTGCTGCTCAAAGGGGATGACCCCAAGGGAAGGGAAGATGGAATGAATATAGGTCCACAAGCTGCGTTGTGCATGGCTATCCAAAATACTCCCTCCGTTCCTAAATATTTGTCTTTCTAGAGATTTCAACTAGTGACTACATACGGAGCAAAATGAGTAAATCTACACTCTAAAATATGTCTATATACATCCGTATGTGGTAGTCCATTTGAAATCTCTAAAAAGACAAATATTTAGGAACGGAGGGAGTACAAAACTATTAAAAAAATGATGATGATACAACAAGTGTTAGGAGTGACCAGAAGCGAGATTTTGGACAAAACCACGCAAGTTACCTTGCTTCTGATGTAAGTGTTTGAGAAAGCGTATAGATCAGCTGTGTCCAGCACTCCTCTGCGTCCTGCAAGTAAGCCATGTGATCTCAGCATATAAATTCAACAGTAGACAAGCTAGTATATCTTAATCATAGGCAAACAGAAGGAACCTGCTGCATGTAAACATTATTTTGCTGTTGAGCAAATTGGGGGTATTTTTTCCGCAGCATCTGCATGAAGTTAGATAAAATAAATTTAGACCCTGAAATTCTGGATTGCAAGTTAACGAACTAAATAATTATCATTGATATGCATTCAATTTGTCAAATACTCCCTCCATTCATAAAGTAGTACGCATATTTTTTTTCAAAAGTCAAACTTCATGAACTGCAACCAAGTTTATAGAGAAAAATCTATATGCACTGTATCTTGGAACCGAGGGAGTACATGCAACCTAATTTATGTGCGGTTAATTGTAAAAAATTGCTTTACAACAGTAAATCAAAATCAAGCACACAAAGGAGAACAGGTAAGGAACAACACATATTAATCATTTCTACTGTGAATCAGTTAGGGAAAAAAATGAAAGTTTCATTTTTAGTTGAATGTATGAAATTAGTCTTTCTAGTACTGCACAATTAGAACTCTTAGTGTGAATATATAAGTATTGACTGGCGACAAATTTCATTTAGGTACAAATGTTCCTTTTAGTTTCAACATTAGGGCAACAATGATTACGAGTCGAAGGACTAGTCTTGACTAGTAGTCGAGGGACTGATCTAGGAGTCTCAATGTCATTATCGACTAGGATTTTCGTGTCGGGCGGTTGATAAACTAGTCGTAGAATAGTCGAGACTTGTCGTGCTCTTTGAGTCGTTTGACTCGAATTTGGGAGGGGATAAATGAGCCTGCAGCCCAGCCCGCAGCCCGATGGAGGGGAAAATGGAGAGCTAGGTTTCAGGCTCGCTCCAGACCTGGGACGATGCCGCCACCACCAGCGGGAGCATTGCAACCCTCTCCCTCCGCTGGTTCTGCCCCTCCCCTGGATCCGCCCTTCCGCTCTCCCTCCACTGGTTCTGCTCTCCCCTGGATCCGCCCCTCCGCTCTCCCTTTGTTGGTTCTTCTCCTCTCCTGGATCCACCCCTCCGGTCTCCCTCTGCTGGTTCTACTCCTGGATCTGCACCTCCGCCGGGCTGCAGCAAGCAAGCAAGCACTCTTCTGCCAAGTAATTTCTCCCTTCTCTCCTTCCCTTCTTCTTAGATTCCATTTTCTCCCCTGCCCTCTTTCTGATTTCCGTTTTGCTTGTTTCAATTTCAAGATCCTTAGGTCTGAGCTACAATGTCTACCCCGCCAGAGATATCTCAAGTAGTGTGTTCATCAGCAGCTACAGCTCACGCCGATGAGCATTACGATCCACCGAAGCATCCTGCGAAGAAGCTAACTAGGAGCAAGGGCCCAGCATGGAAATGCGCTTTCTGGCCTGATCTGCAGGGCAAATTGACGCTCCAATGTATTCAATTTACATTGTATACTAGTTCAATTTTTAATGGATACTAGGTTTTAGTAATTGATTACTGTAAGTTGTGTACTACAGTATCATGTCGACTTGTTCAGCAGTACTCTAAACTAGTCACAATTAGTCTATGAGTCTCAACCTTGGAATGACTCGTCGGATCGTAAATCTTGCTTTAGGGATAAAAAAAAGTCAAACTGCAAAGCAATGCCTAGGATCCTTTTTACCTAAAATCCTAAAGGCTCTTTTAAGGACTTCAGCTTGCAAATATCTAATATACATGTTCCAGACTGAAATTGCGGGTTGTTCCTCTAACAATAAAGGACCCCCTCGAAACTTCCATCCACCCAAATGCAACTAGACCTACAATTACATTGCCTTATGCACTCGGATCAAGAACACTTAAAACTATACTTAGCGCATTTTTTAAACAATATAAGCAGCAAATTTTGTATTGGAAATGTACGATTTTTGCTATACTGCATTTTTCATCTCATACAATAAAAATTCAAAATACATACTGAACCCAAAAAAATCCAATTTCTCCTGTTTAAATTGTAAGTACTTGTTTGAAGTTTTCTGGTCTTCAGTACGAGACTTTGACCAGATAACACTGTAAAGTCCTCTACAGATAAAATCATGGTACGTTTATACATGATAATGCTTAAAGTTTGAAATGTTTTGACCTAACACATACATACAAAAAACCATCAAAATGAGTAGTATTCTTAATCTAATTTATAAGATACCATAAAACAGACTACTAACATAAGGAACCCCTGTGCTCACAGAAACTTAGGAAGGATTTCACTGGCTTGAGATGTGAGGGCAGAACTGATGTCTGACCTGTAAGAAATGCAGAGGTGCAACTGGTCGAACGCTTTGATCAAGCTCTCCGAAAGTATTACGAGTTGCAACTGTTAAACTATGGGATGCTTGATCCACCCCATTGCCCCTCACATTATCTGAATAACTGCATGAGCAAAAGACAATGAGATCACCAAGAACAAATAACATATAGTCAAAGTCAGTGATACCAGGTTTGGAGGGATGGGTGGGGGAATGAAACCTCAGTAATGCTGACTTAAGCTCTGGAACAGAATGCAGACACTGCAGAGTGGAATTCATGTAACATGTATTCCCCAAGTTATAGAGACCAGCACTGTGCCCCTGGAAGTCACAAGAACAACCTTACTTGTAGCATAGATAGATAACACCCAAAACCAAACCACCACGCTGGAGCTAAAGTCAAGAGATACTATCTGATTGGTTTGATGCCAACATTTGGCAAAATCAAAAAATTATAAAAATTTGGCAACTTCTTGTGAACCTGGCAAGAAAAATTGGTAACCAACCAATTGCTAGCCAATATTTGGCATTTGCCAAATTTTGGATGCCAACTTTTGACATCAAACCTATCATGCTCTATATACAAATGATTTCATACAGAACTATAGAAGTTATACTTGGCTGCATATCATACCACTCCCTGTTGAGACTGATTATATTGGTTCATGATCAGCATCTTAGTTACGTTAAACTGGCTATCCAAAAAAATATTATTGGTTCATGATCAGCAACTTAGTTACATTAAACAAGCTATCCAAGAAGGTTCAACAACAACAACAACAACAACAACAAAGCCTTTAGTCGCAAACAAGTTGGGGTAGGCTAGAGGTGAAATCCAAGAAAGTTCAAGAAAGATAAATTCATATTTAGCGCAAGTGTCCAATCTGATCCACAAGTTGGAGCATGTGTTCCAACTAATGCGTCTCCATGGCTAGCAGGAAACGTAACAGTATTTACTAAACACCGTAATTTGATCTATTTCTTTTCTTTCTTACTTTTTTGCAAGGGGTAGTTTGATCTATTTCTCATACATGAAAGAGTACCTGCAGAGTGCAGACATATGTTGTAAAGACAAGGTTGATTATGACTCGAATTAGTAACTTAAAAGGTACAGATTAAGGCCTAAAAAACAACATCGCATATACGCATAGAACAAGAAGGCCATACACACCAATGCAGCCGCTTGCTCTTCTTCTGGTAAATCTTCAACAAACACGGGGCCTTTCTCTGGAGCTTTCACAATTTCATCAGCCGTACCTATCATCATCAACTTTTGACCCTGCGTAGTGCATTTTGATACTCCAATGTAAAGAGTGTCGTTGAATGTAATAAACTAGTAGGGTCCAGTAAAATAAAACTGCGCATGGAAGATAAGTTGAGCTTCTCACATCTTTAAGTCCCAAAGTAGACCAATCTGTGTCATCCTGCATCATACGGAGAGCATTTGGTGGTTACAGACATGTTAAATATGTTTAAATATGTCATACACAATGACAATCAATTCGGTCTAATATCCTAGATATTGTATCACCAAAATATGTTACCTTCAATATTCCACCCTTTACCATAATTTTTTGCCGTTCAGGGGGTACACCAGTCAGTGTGTACAACTGGGTCTTGAAAACCATAGGCGGCTGGCTAGTATCAATCTCTATGCCTGGAAAGACCTGCTTCTGCCATTTTATGCATACTGGGAAGCATTTCTAAAGTATTAGTCATGGTAAGAAAACAAGTTGTTTCAACGTGAATGTACTTATGTTATGCCACCAGCCAATGCTTTTAACAATAGTTAAAATGAACTTTGAAGTACAATTGCCAACAGTAAATACTAAAATAATATAAAATGACATAGAAGAGCAATCGATATATATGTTCTGATGTTGGTGGTGACAGCAGTACAAGATGAACACTGGAAGCCAAAAGCTGAGGTGGTCATGCAAGCTGCTCAATTAACCAAACCGTCTGACCCTACTGCCATCAGGCTAATACTTTATTAACATTAGAAACAGAATACAAAGCTGCATAGTAGAAACATCATGCCTAATTAACTGCTACTGGCACTAGATTTCTTATGTCATAAAATTTATTAACAGTCTGCCAGATCACAACAGTATCACATGTATGCAGTGTGCCATTATGCAAGAAAAGCACAGATGGAGCTCAGTTGTCTGCTTTCGGAGACTAGATCAAAATACATTTAAGTGGTTTGGGTCCAGGACTTGACATAACCCTATACTACATCCACCCTCTACACATCATATAGCTTGTTAGGTAATCTTGTGGTAAGAGTCCTGCGTGAATTAGCAGTTGAGTCTAAGCAGGTTAATTAGTGTGTTTGCTAATTGGCTTGGACAACGTACGTGTGTTAGCTAGCTAAGTTTGAGTTGGACACGTGTTGTGTCATGCTAGGAAATTACTAGTCCGGTTTAGACTACCGATTAGGAAAGAGTATAGTCCTATTACTAGTAGGTTTGGTTAGCCGTGTCTAGTCTGTATAGGTTTAGGTTGCTTTGTCGGCTCATGGCCTTGCGTGTGTGTATATATACACGTAAGGCCGCATAAAATTGTAACGTGGAGCTTCAGAAAAAAAAAAGAGAAATAAAGGGCGTGATGCTGGCCCTTGGCTACAAGTTTTTTGTGCGCGTGTGTTCTTCTACTTTGATGTAATCGATCCGTGGGCGAATTCCAACATAGCTCATACTACATGTCATTAGATGTTGGTGCACACAGGGGATAATCCACAGATAAACCCCTTCCTACAGACTGTTCTGGTGCCCTCCACTCCCGTCCTTCTTGCTTCCAGTGGCAATACTCTCCATCTATCCAATTCTACAGCATTTTACTCCAGTGCATTCTTGCTTATTATTGTCTACTAGTCATGTAATCTTACAGAGAAAATAAAATTATGAGCCTTGAATCAGGAGTAGATGTTTTATTGATGAAAATGAATTAACCCCACTGCAAGCTGCTATTAATTATTGTTTCCTTGCTCTTTTTCTTGCCTCCACAAACTGCTGAGGATTTTTTTTCCCATTGGAGTGTGAGGACTCAGGGCTCGCGATTGCCAGGCTCTTTCTTGGACCTTGGCTATTGTAAATCTTAACTTTTCTATGGAAAATTACAGCCACTTTCGAAATACTGGATCCGCCACCACACGCATACATATAATATTGGATAATCATAACACCACCGAACTGAGGCTTGGTATTCCAATCAGCACATATGCTGGAAGAATAACACGAGTAGACTAGACATGCAGTAGCAGGCCCAAATCTAGGCGGTTAAACCTAAACCCTAAATTCATAAGTGTAATCACCTCGAATCCACTACTAAGGCGGGTCGAAACGGGCGCTGCCACCGCCAGATTCTTCCTGACCGGTGATCCCGACCTACCTACGCCGGAAGGCAGATCTATCCGTGCAAGCCCAAGCCCTGAAAAGGACGCAAGAGGGCAGCGC